AGTCATCCCGCGCTACCCAATCACAGCGCAGTCATCCCGCGCTACCCAATCACAGCGCAGTCATCCCGCGCTACCCAATCACAGCGCAGTCATCCCGCGCTACCCAATCACAGCGCAGTCATCCCGCGCTACCCAATCACAGCGCAGTCATCCCGCGCTACCCAATCACAGCGCAGTCATCCCGCGCTACCCAATCACAGCGCAGCGTCATCCCACGCTACCCAATCACAGCGCAGCGTCATCCCACGCTACCCAATCACAGCGCAGAGTCATCCCTCGCTACCCAATCACAGCGCAGCGTCATCCCACGCTACCCAATCACAGCGCAGCGTCATCTGCTGTCGTGTTAGTTTATATCAGTTTAAATGTACTTAGACATTTTATTTAATAATGCTCATTAATATTGAAAGAAAAAAAATTTTCTCGCATCGCAGTTTTTGCTGTAGTTGCTGTAAAATGTGAAATTTCAAAGAATTAAAAACAAAATGTATTTAATGAAAAGGGGGTAAATTTAGTGCTAACATAGTAAAACATGGTAAAAGCTGTGAAAATGTTGCACATTCACTCATTAATGAGAATTTACTGATGAGATATATAGTTTTTTAGTTGAAAAAAAAAAGAAATTATGACTGTTTTATAAGCTTGTGTTTTGCCGAAGTTAAATCTAGTTTTTTTAATGCGTTATTCCCATTCTCTCTCCGCAGACGGAATGGACAGAACGTCGACCATATGAGAACTGGACCTGAACGAACACTGCGCTCCAGCACACACACGCAAACAACACCGTCACTACAGACCACACACGACTAACTGTGTATACCTTCTCTAATATTTTTCTACTTTATTGTACTTAAATAAGTTTATTATAAAGGAAATACAGAAACTATTATATCGCGAAGGGAGAGCAGGTCGAGGAATGATGGTGCTTCTGGTCTGAGTAGCCGCTCGTTTACATCACTTCCTGCATGACCTCTCACCCCCACGACGGACTTCCTCCTGTGCTTTTCTGTGTTGGGACGGCAGGTTTAAAGCGGAGAGTTCAGGCGTCCCTGTGTTTATCTGTTATGATGCGTTCTTATTTCTGTCCAGGTACATGCGGTTTCTTAGCACTTATCCGTGAGATGTTTACCAGTCGTCACTACAGCCGTGAGCGTGTCCTGAGTTTGTAAATACGCAGGTATAGGCAAATCAGAATATGACCCGAGAGACTTTATCCAAATGATTTTTATACGCAGATCTATGAAGTAAAGACGCGAGATCGAGCTGTGCTCGTCTGTTGCTCCGCCCCTCCGTGACTGACAGGGACGTCAGCCAATGACAGACTCCGCCTCCTACCGACTGATGCAAAAACCCACCAGTCAGATTCCATTTCATCATCGTCATCTTTTGAGTTCCTCCTGTCTTCACAGATTCGACCGATCGCAGCGGTGCTTCTAAATGTCAGATCTCTGTTCATTCATTTGTGGTGTGTTTTCTGTTCGAATGGTACAGTCTGAAAACCCCGTTCAGCCTTACGGAGCATCAGAGCGCTGTGTGTGTGTGTGTGTGTGTGTGTGTGTGTGTGTGTGTGTGTGTGTGTGTTTTATACGTCTCAGACGCTGGTCTATGTCTAGTAAAACTGTATTGACTGAAAAACAGGCTTGTTTGCTTTATTTGTGTAATGATGTGGTCTGTTTGTAGAGCTGAATCGCATGCAGCCGCTCAAGAACACCCACATCACTCGAAAATCCTAAAAAAAATTGTTTTTCATAAAGAAAATGAAGCCTGTTTTCTATGGAAACTCAATTCTGCCGTGGCATAAAAAAGTAATTGCAACTTTTTATCTCACAATTCTGACTTTTCTCAAATTTGTATCTTGCAATCCTGACTTTTTTTCTCAGAATCGCAAGATAAAAATGAGAATTGCGGTACATGAACTCAGAATCGCTTGTAATTCTAAATATAAACTCACAATTCTTTTTTTTTTTATTCTGTAGTGCTTAAAAGGTTCTTCACAGAGATGCTATAGAAGAACCATTGTTGGTTCCACAAAGAAGCATTCAGTCAAAGAACATCTCTTTCTTACCTTATAATCTGAAGAACCTTGTTTCGTCACAAAGAAGCTTTTGTGAAACAGAAATGTTCTTCAGATGTTAAAGGTTCGCATTTAAGACAAAAAGGTTCTTCTGGCATCGTGAAGCAGCTTTAGTTTTAAGAGTGTAAACTCAGAATTCTGAGAGAAAGTCAGAACTGTGAAATATAAATTCAGAATTGCGATGAGAAAAAGTCAGAAATCTTGAGTTTATATATTGCAATTCTGACTTTTTCCTCACAATTCTGAGATTACATCACAATTCTGAGATTACATCACAGTTCTGAGATTATATCAATTCTGAGATTATATCACAGTTCTGAGATTATATCACAGTTCTGAGATTATATCACAGTTCTGAGATTATATCACAGTTCTGAGATTATATCACAGTTCTGAGATTATATCACAGTTCTGAGATTATATCACAGTTCTGAGATTATATCACAGTTCTGAGATTATATCACAGTTCTGAGATTATATCACAGTTCTGAGATTATATCACAGTTCTGAGATTATATCACAGTTCTGAGATTATATCACAGTTCTGAGATTATATCACAGTTCTGAGATTATATCACAGTTCTGAGATTATATCACAGTTCTGAGATTATATCACAGTTCTGAGATTATATCACAATTCTGAGATTATATCAATTCTGAGATTATATCACAGTTCTGAGATTATATCACAATTCTGAGATTATATCAATTCTGAGATTATATCACAGTTCTGAGATTATATCACAATTCTGAGATTATATCAATTCTGAGATTATATCACAGTTCTGAGATTATATCAGTTCTGAGATTATATCACAATTCTGAGGGGAAAAAAGTCAGAACTGTGAGATAAAAAAATTGAAATTACCTTTTTTATTCTGTAGGGGAAAAATTAGTATTTTGATTTTATTAATTTTTTTCTCAGAATTGCAAAATATAAAGTTAGAATTGTTGGATATAAAAAAAATCTGAGAAAAAGGTTGCAATTACCCTTATTTTTTATTCCTCGGTAGAAACAAAAATACAGAATTGTGAGATTAAAGCTTTGCAATTCCCTTTTGTATTCCTGTGTCAGAAACGGGCTTCCTTGGTTGTCTGAGAAATCTTTGATTGTTTATGGTCATGACTGTTAAGCACATTCCCAATTACTGTAATGCCAAAAATATTACAATTCCGTTCATCTGCGGCATGATGCGCATTTAATGAATTCTGATCTGAATTTTATAAACCTGTCCAAACATGTTATTGTGATAGTTGAGTGAGATTTGTTCACAGCGGTGAAAGTGTAGCTGGTCTGTGGTGATCTGGATCTGGATCAGGATCAGGACCGCTTCAGTCTGGCACGGGTGAGAGAGCGGTCTGATCTGATGTCTTCTCTGTGCGGAACAGCCTGGCGCTGCTTCACACTCCAGCTCTCGGTCTTAATCGATTGCTTCATTAACGTGGGTCATCATGAGGTCAGGATCCCATCCGTGTGGGCAAGAGAAGCTTTACTGGCAGGAAGCATTCCAAAGATGTGAGCTCTCTTCTGTCTGGCTCTCTCCGGTGAACCTCGGGACAGGCCAGCTACTTGAGATCAGACAGATGAAAGGCGCTTGGCATGAGATATTATTAATATTATTATTCCTGACATCTGGAGTGATGGGACTTGTGTGTTGCTCTGTTTGGTTCAATTCTTCTAATATCTTTGTCATGCTTCTTACCTGAATGGACATCAGAATGGTAATAAATTGTTCATGTTTTGCATTTACTGAAGGCTTTCATTGACTCTTTCTTTTGAGTGTGTGAGTGAGTGAGTGTTTGAGTGTGTGTGTGTCTGTGACTGAGTGTATAAGTGAATGTGTGAGTGTG